AGTGTTCGAAAAGTTGGCCGAGTCGTTTTAACACACCGAGAGTTATTTTGGCTCAGGCCCTTGCCGAGTCCAAGTTGTCCCTAGTTGTTGAAGGTCCAACTCTAAGATCTTAAATAATAATAATAATAATAAATATATAAAGAAATTCAAAAAATAATAAATATTATTGTAATATTTTTATTTATCATTTCTAACATTTTGGCAAAGATTGCAAAAGTAATTTGGCCATGAAGACTATATTTTCCATCTTTTTAAAAATATTAAAAAATACCCCCAGTCACACCTATTTTTTATCATTTGTTAAAGGGTGTGGTTTCTATAAGGTTGCAACCTTACACAATCCAATTAGGCGCACTTTCAAATTCTATCATAACATTTGATTTTGTTGTAAATCTATTTCACATCTAATTAGAAAATTTTAAACTCCAAAAATGGTTAAAAGTCAAGGAGATATATAAACATATGAAAATCTTCAAAATAGACAGTCTAGATAATGTGTTGCTAGATACACCATATTTGAGACTCAAAAACTATTTTTTTTATATATTCATATATCTCAATATTGAGATGATCAAATTGAGGGTTTTTCAACATTAAAACGACCTTTCCGATAGATTTTTGAGTTGCACATATAATTCTACATTTTAAAGTTGCAACCTTATATAAACTTTTCCCTTTTTTAAAATGTACTTTTTCACTACTTTTTTAACTACAGTTGTGTTTTGTTAAAGTTTATGTTAATGGAAGAGTTTATATAGAGCCGAGGCTCTAAACAATCAAATTTGAGCCTACCTAAAAAATTACCCTATAAGAGGTTGTTTTCATGCTCAAATATCCTCAAATTCATCATCTCGACATCAAGATGAATGGATATGAGAAAAATATGGATTTCAAGTTTTAAAAATTGTGTATTTTGTAATATATTTTTGGTCCGTCAATTTTAAGATTTTCAAATTTTCATAGATCTATTGATCTATACTATGTTTGAAGCTTTAAACGTTATAAATTAAGATGAAAATATATTTTAAAGCTATCACAAATATTTTCAATATTGAAACTACATTTGTCGACATTATTTGAAGATAGGCTCTAATTTGATTGTTTAGAGCCTAAGCTCTATACAAACCACACCCTTATTTTAAATATATTTTCCTATTTTTTTAAATTTTAATATTTATATTTTTGAATAATCTTCATCACTTTTGACCTAGTTTTACTGTTACCTACCAAAAAAAGCAAGGACTGCCAGCCTTTTATTTTGAAGTCCTTAGTGCATTGGGATAAGTCTGATATTCACGTGCACACTGTACTGACACCAATAACGTACAAATTAGAATACGACAACTTCAATACTATACACGTTACTCTGACATGGTCCCCCTGCACACCACCACCCCCATGAAATTTCCCATCGCGTTGCATAAAACTAAGGGTGCGGTTTGTAAAGAGCCTAGGCCCTAAACAATCACATTAGCGCCTGCCTTATGAGAAATATGGTTTCAATATTGGAATTCTTTGTGATAGCTTTGAAATATATTTTCATATTTATTTACAAAGTTTAAAGCTTCAAAAATAGTGTAAATCTATGAAAACTTGAAAATGTTGAAATTTGAACGTACAAAAATGCATTATATAATACCCTATTTCCAAAACTTGAAATCCATTTTTTTTCTCATGTCTATGCATCTTAATGTCCAGATGATCAATTTGAAGATATTTGGGCATCAAAACAACCTTTTTTAGTTAAATATTTGAGGTAGGCTCAAACTTGATTGTTTAGAGCCTCAGCTCTATATAAACTTTTCCCTAAAACTAAAAGAACACGGTTTCTATAGTCCATGTAGAAATGAGTCGACTATTAAAAATCTATTTTTGAGATGGTTTTTGGGACTCAATTTTTAAGGACATATAATCTCTAATGTGGAGATCATGAATATAAAAAAAAAAAAGAAATAAAAAGAACGATTTTATGAAGAAATTATTTGGACAGTTAGTTTGAATTGTTTTTAAATGGACCACCTATCTGCATTTATCTTTAATATTGACACTTCATACCTTGGGACTGCATATTGTAGAAATACAGTCTAACTCACATAAAACAATTTTCCAAACTAAATAACAAACAGGCTTTAGTTAACTACCCAAAAAAGTAATATATTGTTTTGCACCCAAAAAATTACTGTGCATTATGAGACCATTATCATAAGGGCATAATTATTCGTAGCTATTAGATGTCAAAGTAGATGGTTCAAGAATTTTTTTTAAACTTTAAATTTAGTATATGATACTCCTACAATCACCCGATTTAAAATTTGATCGACAGAAATGATTGTGACATCTTTATACCAAAAATAAATAATATCAATATGTACTTTTTCGGATTAAGTACGAATCTCCCATAATAAAGAACATAAAAAGTGAATGACTGAAAAAGTGGGACTGCAGACATGAAAAAGGTGCAAATATTGCCACTAAAGATGATGGTTTACAAAAATAGTTAGTAAATATTAAATTAAAATAATGCCATACTCTTGTTTGGAAGATTTTCTAGATACGAAATTTTGGAGTCTTATGAGTATTTTTGAATAAACGGATGAAAATTTTTAAGAATGGAAGATCACGTGCGTACGATTTTATTTTACCGTTGTAACAAAAAGACTAAAAAATATGGAGGATTTATGCATAGTGACTAACCCTTGAACTTTATATTTTATCCGAATTTATCATTGGTTTGATGTTTCAAATATCGGACCTCTCGTTAATTTTTATTTTTGTTATTTCTTTATATTCATAAGGTCATTTAATATAAAAAAAAATAGAACATGACAAGTAGGGCAGTTGTGTTAAGGCCTTTTTATTTCTCCATCTCTATCCTCTATTGTTTCCTCAGTCGTCTTTCCTTCATGCGTCGTAGTTTAAGCCCTAACACAAGCAGTCCAATAATTGAAACATTGGACCGCTGCCTATTCACATTTACTTATAACAATGCACATTCTGTTGTTTGAAACATCGGATCACTTGTGTTATGGGTACTTTTAAATTTCTAATGCAGTCTGATATTTGAAACATCGAACCGTTCTACAAATTGTCTCATTCTATTTTTTTTTTATATTAGATGGCTTTATGAATATAAAAAATTAACAAAAATAAAATTAATAGGTGATCCGATGTTTCAATGATCAAACCAGGGGAAAAGTTGGAAAAATAAAAAAATACGAGGGGGTTAGTACTTCTATATAATTACCGCATACTTTTGGGCCTTTTTGTTATGACAGTAAAATAAATGGTTCAAACGAAATTTTTCTTTTAAGAAATAAAAAAATAGATTTTGAGTTCTAAAACACTAGGGTATGACTTTTAAAAAATTGAACAATCTTTAGTCCATCTCAAGACAATATCCTTTTAGAAGCATATACTAGGTCGTATTAAATTATTTAAATTACAGCAGTTCGCTAGGTTGAGGAGGATACATCCTTTCATCTTTAAGAGATTAAAATTTTAATTTTTGTGTTCTTAAACACTTAAATTCGACTGTTTAAAAATTGGAAAATCTTGAGTCCGGTTCAATAATAGCACTTATTCTAGTAAGTTTTATAAGTCTTGCCAGCCTAAAAGCTTTTTAAGCTCAAGTGTTTACTTCTCTGTCTTAGAGACCAATATTTTGGGGCTAACCTACGATCCGCTAAAGGACCTACCGAGGTTATAGCTAACGAGGTCCTTTTTGTAGAACACATGCATTTAAAGGATGAAAAAAAAATCATCTACTGTGCATATATATATATATATATATACGGACATTAAAGGGTTTCTATGAGTTGGCGCCGACTCATATATACATTTGCCGCCCCGCCCTCCCCCCCCCCATCGCCACACACACACACTAAAATTCATTTTAGATTGTTTTTTTCTTTTTATAGATTCAACATCTAGGCCAAGATGATCATAAATATGAAAAGAATAATAAATTATTAGAAATAAAAATATCAGTTTTTTTGATATTTTTTATGCACCATCTATATCTTATTGGACGTAGTTAGCATGCGGCTAAGCTCGCATATTTACAAATCCAGGCTTGGCAATAAATATATTTTTTAAGATTTAAATTGATCCTAATTTTTAGAAAATATATTATCTTTAACAAAGATCATAAATATGGAAAAATAAATAAATTTTAAAAATTAAAAATCATAATTATATTAAAAAAATATTTAAAAGCGATAGTTACAATTGTTTGTAGATGGACCACCTATTTGCATCAATCTTTAAGATGGATGGTTTATACCTTTCAAAGCAGGAAAAAGTGTTTTATCTTATTTATCGACGATATAACGTCCCTTGTATGTGGGTTATTGTGGCCGCGGCCTCATGAAACAATTTCCTTTAATATAACTTGTGCACTAAACACGGAGGCATGAAACACTAAAAATAAAAATAAAATAAAATAAAAATAATAAACTGAGGCATGAAATAAATGACACAGTTTCAAAGAGACGGAAAAAGTTTATATAGAGCCGAGGCTGTAAACAATCAAATTAGAATCCACCTCAAAAATTTCATTAGAAGAGGTGGTTTTGATGCTCAAACATCTTTTAATTGATCATCTCAACATCAAGATGTATGGACATGAGAAAAAAAATGGATTCCAAGTTTTTAAAATAGTACATCTTATAACGCATTTTTGGAAGGTCAATGTTCAAGATTTTCAAGGTTTCATATAATGCTCGTTCTACACTATTTTTGAAGATTTAAATTTTATAATTATTGATAAAAATATATTTAAAGGTTATCTTAAAATTTTCCAGCATTGGAATCATATTTCTAAGCACTATTTGACGGTAGACTTTACTTTGATTGTTAGAGCCTCGGCTCTATACAAACAGCACCGGAGAGAGATAGGTTTTACAGACTTAAATATTTAAATATTCTGCAAGGGCAGATGCTGTCCATTGAATACTCTGCGTTCTGCTTTTAACAATGCTCACATGCTTATAAATGGAGATGCTCTCCTTCTCATTCTCCATGCCTTTCCCCCTCTCTCTCTCTCTCTCATAACAAGTCTCCCCCTCTCTCTCTACTCGTGAGTTTTCAGAGATGGAGGGCAAACGGAGTGTTCTCCCTGCTTCTTTGCTGGTCTTGCTGCTGCTGGTTGCGGCCTCTGGTAAACTCCCTTTCCTTCAAAACGCACTCCTGTCTCTCTCCTCTCTATCTCTATCTTTCTAAACACACTCCTCTTTCTCTCTAAATATATATCTTTCTCTCTCTAAGGTTTAGAAGTTTTAGAGAAAAGAGGTTTATGGTTACTTACTTGTTGGTGCAGCTGTGGTGGTTGATGCAAGGACCTGTCAGTCACTGAGCCACCATTTCAAAGGGCGTTGTGTGCTTCACAACAACTGTGGCTACGTTTGCAGGACTGAGGGCTTCATTGGAGGCAAATGCAGAGGCTTCCGTGGAAGATGCTTTTGTCTCAAGCCCTGTTAGATTTTCTCTTACAAATAAAAAGCCTCCACTCAAAACCCTTCTCTCTCTCTCTCTCTCGTTATCACTTGTGGGTTCTTTTTTATTTGTTTGGTTTCCTTTTCACCTGGTTTGTAGTTTTGAACTCTGTTTTGTTATGGGTTTTGGTCACAAGGAGTAGAGCTTCTTTGTTATCCTTAGATGAATGGAAGTGCTTATGATTCTCTGTTACGAGTGTTTAGAGGATGAGAGTTCAAGGTTTGCTGGTTGCTTGTGGCTGTAGGGGTGTGAATGGGTCGGGCTGAATGACTTGGACTCGAACCCGAGTTGGATTTAAGTCATTTAAACCCGGACAGGAGGCTAAAAATAAAAATAAAAAAAATATTTTTCTTACCGTATAGTATGTTTTTTACATATTTTATATCGGATCTGGTAAACCCAAACCTGGACCCAACCAGACTTTAGGGGGGGTCCAAGCTAGACCCTAACCCAAACCCACCCTAGTCGAGTCCAAGTCATTTGGATTAGGACCTGACCCACTAGGTCCAAAACTTGAACCCGAATCCCTTCCTTCCTGGTTCCGGTCGACCCACCCGACCCAATTGCTACTCCTACTTGCGGGGTATTGAGAATGAACATCAAAGAGATTGAGAAGTTTTATACTATGAAAATGTTGATTCAAATATATATTTCTAACCTCATAAAAACCGGTCACGATGTCACAGTGGCAGCACCACTTGAGTCTCAATCATCCGTTTAGGCTCCTTTTCTCAAAAAGTAATAATTATTTCCAAAAAGAAAAAGTATATAATAAGATTGTTTACATTCCCAAAAACTACTAATTATTTCCAAAAAGAAAAAGTATATAATAAAATTGTTTACCTTGGTACTAGGTGGTCCCAACTAATCTTGACCATTGGATGTGAAATTGAGTATTGGATGTGAAATTGAATGGGTGCATTTATTATATTAACCAAGGTTAAAGTTTAAAAGAAATTTTCTTGAAGTTCATGACACATCTAAGCTATCAGATTTCACATAAGAGAGTTATAATTAATTGTAATATCTTTATACCAACAATAGAAAGAGCTATCAGATTTTACATCTGGGGGTTATAAGTAATTGTGAGATCTTTATACCAAAGATGCCACTGAGCCACCCAAAAAAAAAAAAAACAAAATCCTGACTTACATGTCATTATGTTTGCTTGTTTTGGGTATTTTCCTTGCGGTGCTTGGAATGTCTGGATATCTCATGTTGATGCCAGCGTTTGCGGGACTTTTATGTTGCGGGTGTTCAAAAGAGAGATACATGCATTTACCGCAACATTTTATAATTTTAATTATCTTCTCAAAAGTAAAGAAAGGCATATAACTAGATCATTTCCTTTATAAGGTCATAATCATAAATTTTATCATATTTATTGAGTAGTTGTGAGTGATTCATTGACTAGACTCAAACTTAAAAAACAAAAAAAAAAATTGAATTTTATAACACAACCCAACCCATCCAATTTGAATCTAACTAGGAATGATTGTGAAATCCTTCTACCTAGTACACAATTCCGAAAGAAAAAAATAAAAACTTGACTAATACATACTAGAAATATGCACTATCCCGGTCTCTTCCCCAAAGGAAAAGTACTTTATGTGCCGGGGACGCATTTGCATCCCCTAAGACATCACACATCAAAGATAAAAACTATTAGTTAAAGTTTTTTTCAAAAATTCATCATTTTTTGTTTTTAAAGTTTGTTTTTCACATATTAATGTTCTTCGTGATTGAGATGATATATAACTAAAAAATGATGTCCAAATTCCATCTAAAAAATGGACATTCAGAGGGGATGCATATCCACATGAGTCCTAGCACCCATAAAAATCGTGTCCATGTCAAGTGGACTATCAAATTGCTTGGACCATTGAACCTTTTTCTATCTTATAACTAACGAGGATCTTCTAATGAAGAGTCGCTCGCTTCTGCTCCCGAATCTTGTTCCAATTCTCCAAACCACAAGATCTTGATTTCGGGCGATTCCTTGAAATTAAGGATCTCGATCCGGGAAATTAGTGATCTATATCCTATGTTAATGGGACCTAGATCCCTATATAAAATATCATCATTTCATGAGTAAGCGGAACAACAATTCCACCAACATGGAACCGGAATCCTATACTTTGAGTGCGACTTTCTAAGGCACATTTTTGGGTTCATAAGCAATGGAGGGTGGAATCTCCATTTCTTTATGACCTACAACTTTTCTTAATGCCATGATTTCATATATATTTTACGGTTCACAACTCGATACGCATTGTAAATTATGACTTGAGTCTAGTTTCAAAGAAGGGAAACAAGAAAGGGCAACGAGAGAGAAGAAGTGGGGATTAGATATAAAGAATAGTTAAGTTGCATTTCTATAGAAGAATGAGGTCACAATACGCTAAACTTCCTTAGGGCCAGTTCATTGGTTATGGTTGGTATCATACGAATTAAGGTAGTACATTACACCAAAGACAAGATGTGTATTGAATTCAGTAGTTGAAAAAGGTTTCTTTCAGTGGATGTACACGAGTGTTTGTGACCTCTTTGTACAAAAAGTAAACGGTCCCTTTATATACATTTCCTATATTATATATATAACCTTTATATATTATATATAACCTTAAAATATATATATATATATATATAAGGGTTGGGTAAAGCTATAAAAATAAGTGCTAAAAGAAGATAAAAGAGTATATATACATTAGTATATTAGCATTTATAAATTTATATCTAATATATATTATATAAAGTTTTAAAATAACCAGGTCAGGTCAGGGCAGGTCCACTTGGACCCGGACCCCAACCCGATTTACTAATCGGGTCCAAGATTTGGACTCGAACTCTATCCATCAGGTCCATATTTTGGACCTAGACCCAGACCGGGTTGGGGAGTCTGGTCTCGGGTCAGGTTTGGGTAAATTCCTAGCCCTACTGGCTATTTTGCTTGATCCAGGTCAGCATGAAACCACGAGTATGGGCAGCCTCCAAAAATTCCGACCACTTTAGGGAACAAAGGTCTAAACAACTGCTGCAATAAAGGTTGCCCTGACGCTGGGGTAACCCAATGCAACCCAAACAAACATACTACAAAGTGCCATATCCAGCCTGGAATTCCTTGCCATACAATCTAAAAATATAGGCCAATGATTTCATGCAATTGTTGTATAGTAATATAATGCAACAATCCTAAAAAACCATCTTATGGTCATTTGTTTAATCCAATTTTTGAAATATACATTCTTTTCATTCTAATGAACAATTACAAAAAAATAAAAATGTAGGGCAATGATTTCATGCAATTGTTGTATAGTAATATAATGCAACAATCCTAAAAAACCATCTTATGGTCATTTGTTTAATCCAATTTTTGAAATATACATTCTTTTCATTCTAGTGAACAATTACAAAAAAATAAAAAATTAAAAACACAACTTAGAAATTACTTTTTTAGCCCAATTAACATAGGCCGTTTATTTTTGTGAGATGCTTAGATCTAGGCCTTAGAAGTATTTTTTCATTTCCAATTTTTTTGAAATGGTTTATTATCATTAGATGAGCAATGTTAAAAAACAAAAAAATGATTTTTTGTTTATAAAGGCTAAGATCTTGAAATTCACATAATGAATGGTCTAGATTCGTTTTTAGAGGAGACTCATTTTGACCATATCTAAGTTCAAATATAACTTTTTTTTTTGAGGGGGGGATTGATTATTGAGATGAAGAGAGTGTATGTGCAAAATTTGGAGTCATACAAATATCACAAACATAATTTTCTAGGAGTGTCGTTGTATTATACTATGATTCAACCGTGTATTGGATCATTGCTAAAAAATATATGCTTATAAATGAGTCTTTGTTTACGCATCAAGCAAATATTAAGAATAACCATGCCTCTCCTCCCGAGACTATCCACCTTTAATACTTTATTGATACCCAAGAGAAATCCCCCATGTTATTTGGCACTAAAATCTGTTAATCCACTTTCCTTTGATTAAAAATTTTTTTTTTGCAGCTCTGCTAGACAGATGTAAAGGTAGTTCCAATCTGTCCGTCATTCTGAGGCATGGACTCCATGTAGTCTGATACACAAAACCAGGTCATGCTCTTTTGCATTAGGATCTGAAGCAAACACAAATTGCTTCTTGATAGATTGTTGTCCAAGCCAGGGGTCGAACCAAAAACCTGGACCTACCTGAATTCTATTGTTTTGCACGGTTCCTGCCCCTGTTAGTCATCATTTTCATGAACTACTCTTCATCACCTTTGCCATATTTTAATCTCCACCACGTGTGGCCATTGAATGGTTTTTTTGGGTACCCATCATCCACGACCATTTGGATTGTAATACGTTGTTTGTTTCTTTAATTCTATGAACTCCATGACCCTCTTTGCCCGTTGGTAGGCAAATTTTGTCCCAACTAACAAGGTGCGTCCTTCGTTTGTCTGATGATCCACTCCACTAGAACTATCGTACCATTTTCTTTATCTTGTTGAGACCAATGAATGAAAATTGGGCTGCCCCTAGGCGGTCGGTTTAGGTGGGCGGCAAGGCGGGCCTCCTTTCGAGAAAAAAATAAAATAAAAAATTAAGAGTAATAATAATAATAATATGGAAGAAAGATGACTCTCTCTTGACCTCTCTATTGGGTACATATCCTCTCTCTACATATGAGAATAAGAAGAAGATGGACTCCAAGTATTTGATGTGCGGTCTCTCTCACACATACACACAAATATATACATGCACCCATATGCTCCCTCTCTCAATGGAAGAAAAAGAAAAAGAAGAATATGGCCCCCAAGTGTTAGATGTGAGGTCCCTCTCTCGTATAGACTCTCTCTCTCTCTCTTTCTTTCAGTCTCGACATATCCTTCAAGTATTCGAAACCTCTTTGTCACAAATACAAATCCAAAAGAAAGAAAAAAATGAGGTCGATCTTTAAGAATTTCATATGGGACCTCACACACATACATACGTGCGCATGCACACACACTTAACGCATACACACATTCACAAAACACAAACACAAAACATGTGGCTCCCACCTCAACCCCTTCCCTAGTAACACAAACCGCCCTCCCAGGTGCCTAGGTGGCCGCCTCCTCCTTTTTTAACCTTGTTTGTGACAAAGTTGTACTATGAATAATGACACGATAAATGGGCAGCTCTCTAAAAGCATAAATTTCCATGAACGATATTTTAATTTCCATGAAGCCAATTTCTTGTTAGACTTTTCTATAACTCCACCACAACTTGGCTTGGGCAAACCATGTCTATATCTAACATATAGTTAGCAAGTCGGGGACTATCAATAAATCGGCTCACCATAAAATCGGAAACAAATTGTTTTTATTTTAAAAAGTCTGATGAAAAAATAAGGTAAAAAATACAAATTGGCAAAAATACTTCATATAAAGATATCGCTAATATATCAAATTAGGGTAAACAAATCAGAGTAAAAAAATTGGATAAATTTATAGTATTAGAAATTTTGAAATTCTAAAAAATAAAAATTATGTCAAAGCCATCAATAAGTAATTCATCTATAAAAACTTTACTAGACTAATATAATAAGTCAATTAATCTAGATGTTTTGTGGCTCTCATCCAATCATCCAATATTAAATACATAATTAACTAGTATATACCAAAAAAAACTGTACCATATAAATCTACCCATTAAATACTTGGACAAGTTTTCTATACTTCCCCTACAACATAAAACTTATATACTTCCCTTTATCCAACCGTCCATTTTGAAAGGAGGGCTAAGATTGGCCCAATCAAAATATCACGTCTCTACACTATTTTATTTTTAATGTTTTTTCTATAAACTATTTTGACACCAAAATTCGTATGTCCAATCCTCTATTAAACTTGCACTAGAGAAAAATATTAAAAAAATATTTTCAATAAAGTAAAATAACCAAAATACCCCGACAAATTAAAAAGGTATTTTGGTCATTATATTTTATCAAAAAATTATTTTAATATATGTATAGGTGCCCCCCAATGAGAAGATGGCACTTACCAAATTTCATATTCATACAATTTGTATAAAAATACTAAAAATAAAAATATTTTGAGATGTCGGATCTAAGATTAATCAGTGAGTGGTTTTCTTGATCAAAATTGGACGGTTGGATGGTAGGGGAAGCATAGATCTTCTATCATTATAGGG